ATTAAACGAAGCCGTTTTCGCTACACTGAAGAGCAAGATACAAGCTCTGCTTGGGGAGCTCGTGGAGGAAGACGAGAACGGATACTACAACAATAGCAAAGACGATGCGATTCAAGTGGCTAGTATGGCCTGGCGAGGGGCTGGGATCGGTCGAAATGTTAAGACAGGGTTCAAAGCTTGTGGACTGTTTCCCTTGTCTTTAGTTAAGATGGGCGCCCGTTTGAACAATTTCACACGAAATGGGGCGCCTCGCCACGTCCTGCTTGCCACATGGCTGCATATGAAGGCACTTGTCGAAGACGAGATCCTCACAATGCCAACTCCACCAAGCAAAGACCGCGGCCAGAAGCGCAAGCGCGTTTCCGTCGGCGGACGGCTCTTGACACATGAGGTCTTACAGGAAATTGAAGCGTCCACCGCCAGATCGGGAGCTAAAGGGCGCAAACACGCGAACACGAGTAGTTCAGGTGCTAAGCCTTCCAAGAAGACGACCTCGATGTCGCCAAGCGTTGACACTGGCAGTGATATTGTAGATTCTACAGTAGTTTAGGCACATCAATTGTCAGTACGACCTCATAAGTATGTGGAACTAAAAGATTGCTCTACCAAATTTGTCGAATCTGTGCGTCTGTCAATCCGGCAGCGTTACCCCCACCCTGGCTGGCGGTTTTACATCACACAGGAGGTCTTGACTTCAGCAAAAAGTGGGAGTCGCTATCCATGACGCATGAGCAGCCGTACGACGTTCTCCGGGTGGCAGCGAGCTCTGGGGACTCGAGCAGGGCCGGCGCCCCGCTCGACATTTCGAGCGCTGTCTGTGTCCGCGTGCTTCTGGAAATACAGTCCTTTCCAAAATGGCATCACCTCTCAAACCTAGTAACCTATCATAATGACTTAAGCACGACCGATATGCACCGTTCTAGTAGGCCTACCCCTGATGCTGGTGTACTAATGAATATACTCAAGACAAGTCTAATCCCGGCCTTTAATAGAACCTCCGCCACAATTTCAGTGGTTTCTATAAGTAACAATACAGCGACCAACACTGTCATATTATGTGCCAATCACCTTGTTAAAAAAGAGAGATTCTGGAGGTTTCCAGAACTGTCAAAACTTATGATTTCCGAGGCTGGAGTCCGACGCAGTGCCTTTCCTAAAATTGCTCCTGCAAACCGGCCTCGAATTGATCACTTCCCTTAGCATATGACTGAGATTTGCTTGTCTATCCTGAATTACCAGCCACGGTACACAAAACCATTTTACACGTTTCTTCACGATCGGATTCAGATGAGTCCAGTGCCCCAACAAGGAAAATTCGTTAAGTTAACTCAGAGCACTACCTAAGACAAAGGACTGTATACAAACAGGGAAGCCCAGACTGTCTAACGTTTTATGCAAATTGAGCACATTTACGAATATCGTACGGTATTGATAGTGTGGGGTCCACAGTCTGGGCTTTGCTGAACAACGTGATTCTAGAAGACTTCAATCGTCGTTTTACTGATGTGATATAAATTATAAGCCAATGCAAGCGTGTACCATCTGCTTATCATTCGGCAACCATGGAGTAACCTGCCTTCCGATTCAATGCCTCTGCACACTTTTACGACTGTAAATCTTATAGATTCACTATAGACTGAGTTCTTACATCGGTTGCAGGAAATGCATGGAATCCACCGATACTATGTTACTTCTACACAGCACTATCCAGAAGACCGAATCGAGGCAACTGTGTAAAACAGTAACTAAAATAAATATAAAAACTACTGGTGGCAGTAACACATAACACAATAAAAGCGCCGGTACTCTGGTGCCAGTACTTATTTTTTTCGTACTTAGGGGGATGTGAGGAAACAATCGCTCACATCATCCAGCGCACACTACAATGGAGTTGCTCACTCGTGGTTCCCGTCTCCATTGCTCCCTTCTCCTTGTGCGCAGCACGCCATGGCTCTCCGGCACTTCTCGCGGTCTCCGCGATTTTCCTATTAAAGTATTATGTCGCAACCAGAAATTTGTGCGTAAAGCTGCGGGTAACTACTTTGAGGTCCAGCGGGAATGGAATTTGGGCATCGTTCTCAAACCGTCTGAAGTCAAGTCACTGCGAGACCGCAACGCTGATCT